GCGGCGCCGCCAGCTGGGGGACAGCCGCGGGCCCGAGACCCAGCCCGTCTGCTTCTTCCGCTGCGCGCGGCGCACACTACAGGCGCGTGGGCTCATTCGCACTTTCCGTGAGTCTGGGTGGCCACGCGCGTACTCCACTACTTTCCTTCCCTTCCAGTCCCCGCCCCCTGGCCTCGGGGTCCTCCCCTTCAGGCCCCACCCTCTGGATCCCCAAGCCTTTCCCCTGTACGCCCAGGCTCCCTTGGGTTCCACTCCATATTCCCCAAGAGCCGCGGTTCCCCCCACCCCCTTGCAGAGCGGCCGGATCGCGTAGAGCTGGCGCCACTGCCTGCCTGGCAGCCCGTGGGCGAGAACTTCACCCTGAGCTGTAGGGTTCCCGGTGCCGGGCCCCGTGGGAGCCTCACACTGACCCTGCTACGGGGCGCCCAGGAGCTGATCCGCCGCAGCTTCGCAGGCGAGCCACCCCGAGCGCGGGGCGCGGCGCTAATGGCCACAGTGCTGGCGCGGAGGGAGGACCATGGGGCCAATTTCTCGTGCCGCGCCGAACTGGACCTGCGCCCACACGGCCTGGGTCTGTTTGAAAACAGCTCGGCCCCCAGAGAGCTCCGAACCTTCGGTGAGTGGATGTGAGGAGGGGACCAAGTGAGGTCGGCCGGTGTTTAAGAGCTTTAGACACAGTTCCACCTAAGTTGGACTAATTGACCTCCCCGCGTCAACGCTCTGGGCCGTGAGGGTCACGGGGTGAGAGTGCAGGGAAGGCACCTGGTCCATATCGAGTGCTCAGTACATTCATTCAACTCTGTCCTTCGACCCTTAGCCTTGTCTCAGGACCCCCCGCACCTCGCTGTTCCCCGGCTCTTGGAAGTGGGCTCAGAACAGCCCGTGCGCTGTGCCTTGGACGGACTGTTTCCAGCCTCAGAGGCCCGGGTTCACCTCTCGCTGGGAGACCAGAGGCTGAGCCCCGATGTCACACTCGAGGGGGATGCTCTAGTGGCCACCGCCCCCCCGCCCCTGCCACAGCTAGCGCAGAGCAGGAGGGAGCCACACAACTGGTCTGCAACGTGACCTTGGGGGGCGAAAGCCGGGAGACTCGGGAGAACGTGACAGTCTACAGTAAGAGGGAGGGAGGCGGGGCCTCGGCGGCTGGGGGTGGGAACAGAGGAATGTGAGGGCGGGGCTAGTGGTAGGCGGGACCTAAGGTACCGGAACAGGAGGGGGCGGGACAGTGGAGGGCGGAGTCTGAATAGCTGGAGAGGAGAGGCGGAGCCTGAGCGTGGTCCACTCCGCAGGGCCAAAGCGCGGGAAAGATTCCCGCGGATCAACGCCGGCTTAGAAGGGGAGGGGCGTGGTCGGGGAACTCCAGCCAGTGCTTCGCCCCCCAGGCTTCCCCGCGCCCCTCTTGACCCTGAGCGAACCCAGCGCCCTGGAGGGGAACATGGTGACAGTAACCTGCACAGGCGCGGATCAAGCCCTGGTCACACTGGAGGGGGTCCCAGCAGCGTTCCCAGGGCAGCCCGCCCAGTTCCAGTTAAACGCCACCGAGGACGACGACAGGCGTGGCTTCTCGTGCGTTGCCACGCTCGAGGTAGATGGAGAGACCTTGAGAAAGAACAGGAGCGCGGAGCTTCGAGTCCTATGTGAGTTGATGTAACCCTCTCGCCCCTTCCGAGTGACCTCCGAGGACCTGCCTGGTCCCGGGCCGGGGCCATTCCTCACGGTTCACGTCTCGCCTCTCTTGTGCCCCATGCCCCTGCCTGCAGACGCTCCCCGGCTGGACGATTCGAACTGTCCCCGAAGCTGGACGTGGCCAGAGGGCCCAGAGCAGACACTGCGCTGTGAAGCCCGCGGAAATCCCGAGCCCTCGGTGCACTGCGCTCGGCCCGACAGCGGGGCGGTGCTGGCGCTGGGCCTGCTGGGTCCGGTCACCCGCGGGCTCACCGGTACTTACCGCTGCACAGCGGTCAATGCTCAGGGCAAGGCGGTCAAGGACGTCATGCTCACGGTGGAATGTGAGTTGGGGTGCGCTGGGCGCCATCTCTCGCGCTCTGGGCTGGGGTGGGCGTGGCAGGTCTGCAGAGAAGAGTAGAGGGTGAGGCGTGGCTTTGGCGGGATTTTAGGGAGGAAAAGAGGCTGATTGGGAATGGAGGGGGTATTTTTGAAAAGGATGGAAGAGAAGGGGGTAGGCAGGGCTTTTGGACATGGCATTCCTTCAGTGTTAGAAACGTGGGAAATCAAAGCGGTCCAGCTACTTTTTTTTTAAGTTTTTATTTTGTTTTGCTATAGTGCACATGCGCTCACCAGAGAGAAAGAAAGTGAGAAATACCCCGCATGGGGGCTGGTCACACCATAGTCTCTTCTCCATTCTCCTTTTTTTTTTCTTCTCCTTTTGGTTTTCTGGGTGCACACGTACCCAACAGGTGTCTTTATTTTAGAGAGAGAGCGATTTTCGCTCTAGGGCACGCGTAGGCGAGACAGAGAGACAGTAAGCGAGAAATCATTCCCCAGGAAAATGGGCACACCGCAGTTCCTTCTCTTCCAATCTCCTTTTGGGATTTTGGGCACACATGTCAGGGCCGGGACTTGAACCGCCATCCGCCATGCAAGAATTCAGTGCCAAAACCACTATTCCACCTGCTGGCCCCCTCCATGTGCTTTTCAAGCTGATAAGGTCCCAGACTTCAACCAGGAAGTCAACCATGTGGGATCCAGCACCTTAACCACCACACCACCTGCTGGTCCCCTGGCGTGGTTTTCCAGCTGTTGGGTCCTGCACTAGGTCGGCGGAGTCGGCCATCGATTAGCCATGCCTGTCCACGCCTGCGAGACCAGAAAGGACCTTAGGCAGGGCCATCGGCTTCCAAGTCAACAGCACCCCTGTCCTGCAGACGCGCCAGCACTGGACAGCGTGGGCTGCCCTGAACGCATCACCTGGCTGGAGGGGACAGAGGCGTCGCTGAGCTGCGTGGCGCACGGAGTCCCACCGCCCAGCGTGAGCTGCGTGCGCTCCGGGGAGGCCGAGTTCATGGAGGGGCTGCTGCGGGTGTCACGGCACCACGCGGGCACCTACCGCTGCGAAGCCATCAACGCCAGAGGCTCTGCCGCCAAGAATGTGGCCATCACCGTGGAGTGTGAGTAGGGGCAGCAGGCGATAGGACAGCGTCTGCCGAGACGCCCTCCAACCTCCACCTTCCTGTCGCCTGTATGAACCCTTCTCCCCGCTCCCTGTCCCCGCAGACGGCCCCGCTTTTGAGGAGCTGAGCTGCCCCAGCAACTGGACATGGGTCGAGGGATCTGGGCAGCTGTTTTCCTGTGACGCCGATGGAAAGCCACAGCCGAGAGTGGAGTGTGTGGGCTCCGGGGGCACCAGCGATGGGGTGATGCTGCCGCTGGCACCCCCAGACCCGAATCCCAAGGCCCTCATCATCCCTAACGACCCGGCACCCGGCATCTACATCTGCAACGCCACCAACCCGCACGGCTCCGTGGTCAAAACAGTCGTCGTGAGCGCGGAGTGTGAGCGGGGCCCAGGCGGGTGGGGAGTAGGGGCACCCCGCTGTCCAGGCTTCTCCCTGACGCACCCCATGCCCGCTTTGCAGCGCCACCGCAGATGGATGAGTCCACCTGCCCGAGTCAGCAGACGTGGCTGGAAGGGGCGGAGGTTGCGGCGCTGGCCTGCACCGCACGGGGTCTTCCCTTCCCAGGGGTGCGCTGCTCCCGGGAGGGAGCGCCCCGGCGGGAGCGGCAGCGCGTGTCGCGAGAAGACGCGGGCACCTATCGCTGTGTGGCCACCAATGCGCACGGCACAGACTCGCGGATGGTCACCGTAGGGGTGGAATGTAAGTTGGGGTCGCAGTCGGGGGAAGACGTCCAGAACCCGGAAAGTGTCTTGCGGGAGTGCCCGGGTTCATTCTCTAGGAGTGGTGGCAATGACAATTCTAGGGGGCAGGAACCCGGCCCTGCTCAAACCCTGGATCCGCAGGCGCCTGGGGCGGAGGGGGCTCATCCCCTCCCATTCAGCGAAGAGGGGTGCGGAGTAGACGGGGAGGACTCCAGCGCGCTCCCCCGAGCAGAGGGGGAGCTCAGCACCTTAGCCACAGCCCCCGTCACCCCCTGTCCCCTGCAGTCCGGCCCGTGGTAGCCGAGCTGGCCGCCTCGCCTCCGGGCGGCGTGCGGCCAGGCGGGAACTTCACGCTGACCTGCCGCGCCGAGGCGTGGCCCCCGGCCCAGATCAGCTGGCGCGCGCCCCCGGGCGCCCTCAACATCGGCCTGTCGAGCAATAACAGCACGCTGAGCGTGGCGGGCGCGCCAGGCCGGCGCCGCGGGGGGACGCCGTGC